CATCTCAGGCTACTACGAGGGTCCAAAAGTGGAAAAGAGGCGTACGAAGAATTTAATAGCGAGGCGGCAGTCTACATTTTGGGTTCATTTGCTGAATTCGGTAGGTGTTGGGGATGGAACCCTTATTAGCTTACCCCCCCTCCCTATCTAGCCTAATCAGCTTTCAGTGTGTCAACGCCAGAACTGTGTCCTGAAAGTGGAACACTTAAACCGACTGTCTAAAGCAGCTGATGTCATAAGCTGATAGTCCATGTGCTCAATTGACTCGGTTTCCGACTATGATTGTTGTACCGACGGCTGTGCGGTCGCTTCTCTGCATTCTTGAGCCCACCTTTTAAAACTTGCCTTGCGTTTGGTTTGTACGTTGGTCATCGTTGGGTGGGGTTTCAGAGAAATTCCTAGGAGTCACGCTGCCGGAGCATACCCTCATCCGGTAACAGTTCAATTTAGGTTCCCAAACAGTTTGTTTAATTAGCTGAATATTTGAGCGTGATAATTAAATGGCCCAATAGTGACCAATTAGACACAATCGTCGACTCTATATCTTTTCCTTATAATCTCTATAAAGTTGATAAAGAGATGATATAAAGTTCATATGGAATCGACGATTGTGTATAATTGGGCACTACTGGACCATTTAATTATTGCGCGCAAATATTCAGCTAATTAAATAAGCTGTTTGGGAACCTAATTTGAACTGTTACCGGACGAGAGTATGCTCCGGCAGCGTGACCCATAGAAATTTCTCTGAATTATCGCGCGCAAATATTCGGTTATTTAAATAATTATTCCTGTTATTTCCTACTTTTATACGCTCTCTTTTAAAAAAATTGCTTTCTCTTGATATGCCCCATCCATTTAACCTTTAGTGCCATCCATCCCGTATTACAGAAGGATAGAGTTTTTGCCTTCTGTTTTGGAACCTAAATTGAACTGTTACCCTTTCGTCCTCTGCACGTAAATAAGTGCTAGGATTCATGCTGAATCCTTTAAAGCCATTTCTGACTCCCCTTGAAGAGGCCTCAAGTCTGGGGACCTATAGCTTTTGTTCTTTATATTCATTGGACAGTACAGACGAATGACGACCTACCTCATTTGTGTCATTCGCTCCTTCTCCGTCTTCCGAGGCTTCAAGCCGGGAAAACTGGATTTTGCCTTCCTTGGCCTGGAACCCCTATAAGGAATATCTACTTTGAGACACTAATCAGCGTGGACTTTCCCCGTATGACATTTGGACGCTATATCACCCATTGTAAATCACAGGGGTTCAGTGATGACTTATCGACATTTACTGATGTGGGCTTAAGTGTTTGGATCCCCCGCACTTGGTTTTAAAGATAGGAAACGGCATATATGATATATATATATTTTTATTAATGTCCATCAGTTCGTTTCGGATAATTAATATGAAAAGGAAGGACTTTCTGAACCCGTAGATTTAGTTGCTTGAGTTTCTTCGAGCAGGCAAACTTTCATTACACAAAACAGGCTATACATGCTCGAGGGTTATAGTCAACGAATTCCAGTGCTATGCATATGCATTGTCGCCGTCAATACAAGGCATTTGCCTATCCAGATTCAAAGAGGACTGTAAAAAAGTCTGGCGTTACAGCTGGAAACTATTATAATTCCCTCCCACCACCACCAAACGATATCTTAGAACACCTGACCCACTCTGAATGCGAACTGTTTCCCCTGTCTGTTTACAGGACACCGACAGTCTGGTGTATGACATTCTGCGGGGTGATATTGCCGTACTCGAGGCTGCCAAACGTGGAAACCTGACCAAGATCCAACGTTTAATCATTCCGGAGAACATCAATTGTCGCGATACTCAAGGCCGCAACTCTACTCCTCTGCACTTGGCGGCCGGTTACAATAACATTGAGGCAAGCGCAATTTACACAGATTTATTTATTTATTTTGCCCATCAGTGGGAGTGCTACTATTTATTACTGGAGGCGCAGCTTTAACCAACCTACTTTCAGGGTTCGTGCGCTAAAAACAACGAAAACCACCAGACACAATGGTGACTTGCGTGACGCCCAGCCCACACATTCACCACGTACACTATCTTATTTCTGTAAGAAGTCAAATAGACTGGAGATGAACGTGGGCGTGCTAACTGTCAAGGCCAGCCGACCCGTCTGCGTATGCCACACACTGCCGGCTCGTCTACTTTACACGCATTATGCTTCAGTGAGAGGGTTTTGCATGTCATAGTGCCATAAGGACCGGGAGTTTAGAAAGAGCCTTTGCGGTCCGGCCCTCGGCTCCCAGTTGGCTGAGGCTGTCTGGACAGATGGCTACCTTCAAAAGAAGGACTGCTTGTCCTCATGGATAGTTTGATTGAATAGGGAAGGAAACTAATTGTTCGATTCTGGCCTCATCGGTCTCACTCGGCATTCCCGATCCCGGCATATATCCGTGAAAATTCAATGCCAACGGGGATTGGACCAGTGAGGTTTGCCGCAGTATCTGCGCTAACATGAAGCCTCTATCTAGCGCTTACTACAGCTAGAGTTTGGTGATTAGCAGCCTTACTAATTTAATGCCTTTAGAAAGTAACCTACCGCCATAATTTTCGTTTTTTGAAAAATGTAACGTACTGCCAACTTATTACTACACGTCGTAGTCTATTTTGCAAAACGAAAATGCCTGGATCTAGAATCCCATTTCGCAACACTGAAACTTTCGGAAGAAGAAGCTGCAATCACTGGAACAAAAATTTTATTTTCCTGACGTGAGACATGCACAGATAAAGTTTCACTTTTATCGGCACTCTGAGGAGTATGAGTGATGTGCAGTGTATGTTTATAGATAGCAGCTTATACGTGCTTGCGCACAGTTGCTGTTGACCGGCACCATGTAAATGAGTACAACTAATTGCGGACAGAACTCATCCATAGCTACCTGTTTAGGTTCCTTTGAAAAAACAACGTATACTCCATTCTCATATATCCGGAACAATTGAAACACATAAGTCACCGACTGTGGCACGCAGGTGTTATTAAATGTAGTCATTACTTATTCACACGCGTGTCAGTGATGTAACTGAATCGTTTCTCGTACGCTCGACGTTTTCGGCCTAGTTTGCGGGCTTTTACTTGTTGCGGCTGCAATCATAACTGATCTAGCCGGCCTCGATGATGTGCCCTACGGCGCTTCTCCAAGCACGACGATCTGTGGCAGCAGACCTGTGCATTTCGAGGTATTCTCTTCGCCAGCGCCAGCGCCGGAGACCGAAGGTCCAAAAAACCACTTCCATATCCTGACGGACTGAGTCGAGCCAGTTTTTGAGTTGAACCCCACATGGACGTTTCCAATTGGGCAACGATTCCTTGCTGAGGGCAGTAACACTAAGCTGGTGATGTTGACGGTGGAGAACTTGTTCAAACCACCTCAGTCTTTCTTGGATTGCCTGTTTTCGCAGAGAGTAAGAACGGTCTCAGTTGAGACGAAGTCGATATACTTCACTCGAAAGATGGTACATAGTTTTTCATGCGGTGTCTTGGAGTTATGCGTATGGAAAGGTCCCCAACGCTCGGATTGTTTATTCAAAGTTATCTCCTCTAGCACGTTGGCTCAATAGCCTAACCACAAAGCAAAGGTGGTAAGCGAACTTATTTAATGT